TCGACCCGATTTCACTCAAATCTCATCCACACCTCTCGGAACCTTCTCGATAAAAATTTTGGCCGGCACTAACAGGTCGGTACTACCGAGCGGGTCGGCACGGGCACTTCTCAATAATTTCCATACTTAGCCCCAAATTTTGCAACTCCTCATCAAATTTTCAATCAAATCTCGACCTCGAAACCCGTTTTCACCCTCGAAAATCATGTGGTGTCGTGCGGCTCGTGGAGCTATTTATTCTCGAACAAAAACGAAAAACCGGAAAACGCAAAACCGTGGGTTGCCTCCCACGAAGCGCTCAATTTACGTCTTGAGCTCGACGTCCCCAACAAAAATCAAACGGGATCCAAGAAAAAATGTCGATCGTGCCACGCCTTTGTATTTTCCAAGAGAAGCCGATCCGGTAGCACGGAATAAAGGCGGGCAAGGTAAGCTCTCGTGGCCGCATTCTTGTGAAACCGAGCACGAATTTCGACAACCAACAAGAGAAGATATAGATCTTTACGCATCACGGCCCCATAGTCGACCTCCGAAAATATGAATATATCCGTGGAGCACGTCGAATCAATCCCGGGCATCGTTTGCACTATCTCGAACGTGTACTCATCAAGCTCAAGCATCGGGAGCACGGGTGTAGGCACACTAAACTCCTCCAAATGGTCACGATCCTCAATAACACGAAACGACGACCCAAAGGGCATGGAAACCACCTCATTCTCAACATCCCAAGGCATCTCATCCACACACAGCACATCCGGCTCAACAACATCTAAATGCTCGGATTTCTTCTCACTACCATCATCATCCTCCTCCTCACCATCACCAACACCTTCATTACCCCTCGGCTCACTCAAACCCTCAATTAAATTATCTCCCAATCCATCCTCAACATCAACTTCCGAAACCATACTCTTTTCCTCAACAATCGAATTAAAACCCGAAGCACCATCAACGGAAGAAAATTTTGACGTACCTAGTGTAGAATCCAAGTCCACGTCATCACAAGGAGGAAGTTCTTCGACAATAAGCTCATCGGTGTCCTCACTCGTATCTAGAGGTTGAGTCCCATCGTACACGGGAGTGAGGCCCACCTCTTTCAAGGAGGCACAACGATCCACCATAACCCAAAATTCGCTCTCTAATCGAGTGCTCTCTCGAATAATCTTCGCGGATAGAGTAGAATATCTACCGAGCGGAATAGAAGATGAATCCAAGTCGAGAAAAGACACCACGGTGGAGTCGAACTTCTCAAGTGTAGCACGGAGAGCGGATGGAATCGGGATGCACCTCCAACTATTGAACTCCTCGATGATCGACGCGAGGCTCGCGAGTGCGTCTTGAGTCCTCGCCAAAACTTCTTGGTGATGATCGATCGGCCCAACCTCGGAATGAAATGAAGCTCCAAGACTAGATGAAAAAGGTTGGCCAACCGATGGGTGCTCAAATGCCGGAGAGGGAGAAGTGAAGGATTCGGTTTCTTCTTTTTCGGATAGGGAGGCCAATGAAGCACGAAGGGATTGAGCGTCCTCCTCCAATTTTGGCACGATCTTTTATAATTCGGTTGGAGGGGCCCGAGTCGGCTCGGGTGGAGGCATAACATCATATAAACCGGGCGGTGGAAGATAGTAGAGAGGCGTCTCGTCATAAGCCGGATAGTGATCATAATAATCGCATTGGGTTGTGGAATAAGGGTGGCTCGGGCCAAGTGAGTTCATCTCCCTTTGAAAATTGTCGGGGTATCCACGAAATGAGCTCCCGGCATAATAGTGAGAATAGGGATCCATCCGGGCTCCTCAAGCGTAATACCTCGCACAAGAACAAGAAAAACCACCCAAGGCACACGAGGCAAGAGAGAGAATAACAAAAAGAGAAACTAAAAACACATAATATTTACACGACACGAAAGCAAAAGCAAGAGAAATGTAAAATAAGCAAATAATCAAGAGGAACACGCAAAAACAAGCAAAATCCACAAAAAGCAAGAGAAACACAGAAACAAACAACAACTAGATAGCAAACTTGGCGTCCTACTCGCCTTCCCCGGCAACGGCGCCATTTTGTTGAGTATATTTTTGGGCATGTGGTAACCGAGCTACCCGACTCGGGTCGTTCTCAAAGGAAGGCTCTTCGGAGCTTCGTTCACTATCTAGTCGACAAAGTCACACAACCAAAAAGGTCCTAAACATTCTACTCGCAAATTGGGGGTTTGAATTAAAACTAGATTAATCTACGAAACTGAAATCGAAAGCAAGTAAAGCACGCAAGAAGATGAGAGAAATCAAGGGGGAAAGAGAGATTTTGGTTTGCCGGAGTCTCCATGA